CAAAGTAAAAGAGCGGTCTTACAAACAGATTGCTCCCCAAACAAAAAAAAAAAAAAAATAGTCAATAGTTTGTATGTGTTATTGTCCTTAAACATCACTTTCCTTTCAGGTATCAGCAATGCAGAAGCCCGTCAGCCAGGGAAAGCCCCAAACTTCAGTGTGAACTGGACAGTAGGAGACACCGGCCTGGAAGTCATTAATGCCACGACTGGCAAGGACGAGATGGGCCGTGCGTCCCGCCTGTGTAAGCACGCGTTCTACAGCCGCTGGATGCGTATCCACGCCAAGGTATGGCCCCCAGGCTGCCACAGCTCCCGCTGCCCAGTGCTTAGTCAAGTATCTCTGTGTGCTCTCTGGGCTCAGAAGCCACTTTGTGAGCCTGTTTTAAGCTAAGCTTGGTGTTAGAATCACAGCATCATCAAAGCCAGAAAAGATCTTTAAAGTCATCAAGTCCAGCCATCAGCACAGCACTGCCATCGTGTTCACTGTTAAACCACTTCCTCTAGTGCCACATCCACACTTTTTTTTTTTTTTTTTTAACACTTCCAGGGATGATGACCCCACCACTTCCCTGGGCAGCCTGTTCCACTGCTTTACAACCCTTTCCATAATTTTTTTTCCTAATACATAATCAAAACCTCCCCTGGTGCAACTTGAGGCCAGTTACCTACTGCCCCACACAGTAATGTAAAAGAATATGTGTTTGTTAACTTACTCTTTAATGTGGTGCTGTCTGGACCAAAATGCATACCCCTTGGTTTATAGCTGACTAAGCAAAGGATGCTGTCTCCTTTGAACTTGCCTTCTCATTTTTATTTATTTGGAAGGATAATCCCATTTTCACTGCAGTTGAAACTACTGAGGTTTTCCTTTTTCCTCTCAGAAAGAAAAGCTACCAGAAAGCACATCTGTGGCTTTTTGGCCTCAACCATTTTGTTTGGTAGATCCTTACATTGTTTCAATATTAGTTGTTTGAATAACTCAGTCACTCTCAAGCTGTTTGGCTTAATAGGGTCTTGTCTCTCTTCTTTTCTTGTCTGTAATCCCCACAGCTTTCCTCCAGCTTGCGCTCAAAGATCCTCAAGCCCAACCTGTACCACGATACCAAGCAAGGAGCCACTGAGTATCAAACTGCCAAAGAGTGTTTGTTTAAAGCATTCCTGAAGGCAGGACTTGGAGCCTGGGTGGAGAAGCCCATAGAACAAGATCAGTTTTCACTCATGGTCTAATTCACAAACTGCACATCACTTTGGAAAGGGAGTTGTTCTGGAAATTCCTGGTGTCCAGCATTGCTTTCTGGCATCTCCACAGCCATCAAAACATCTTTTTGCTGTTTGGAGTTGGGTTTCTTTGGGGTTCTTTTGAAACTTCACAGTAACTGTTTCTGTTTCGCCTGAGTAATGAAACTCAATGATGATCTGACACATAATTGTATATTTTGTTATAGGAAAGTAATTTCTGGTGTATTTCTAGAAATACTTTTGCTGTAGAAAACCTGCAGTAAGGCTGTCCTTACTGTATACAATGACTCATTTTTTCTGGGTTAAAATAATTTCTTTTTTTAATTCAGTGTCATCAAGTGCATGAAGAAATTAAAAGTTTCTCTAGGTTTTACACCACACTTTTAGGAAGTAGCTTAATTTTTTAAAAATAGGTGACAAAGCTGATTCTACTGCTCTGTTAACTTGTTTTTGAACTGCAGATATTTTTAGCACATAGACAACAGAGCCAGAATGGAGTCTGGACAGCTAGTTTTTTCCCAATTCCTTGCTCTTTAAAACCAGCTGCTGAAAATTTCATGTCTTCGATGTATGTATTTATTAGTCTGTGACCCAGTTTTTAACATGCAGCTTTTTATTCTGTTTTTAAAAATACATTTACCTCCCATTTACACCCATTGTGAAGTCTTCATTTTTTTTTTACCATTGTAAACTGGAAACAGCAAAAATAATTATTTGTAAGTTAAGAAGTTTAGTCTGTAATGTGCAGAAGCCTATAACGTTTAGAAGTAGGTGACTTGTATATCCCAGGAACTCATCAGAATACAACCTTAACTGTAACAGTAATGTGACAGCTTAAAAAAAATTTGCTCGTTTTAAGGGCACTAAGCCTGAATTGCCAAAACCAGTCCCCTGCTGGGTATTAATGAGAAACTCTTGGAATGGACAAAAGAGCTGTTAAAACTTATTTCCTGGGCGTTATATCTGCTTTCACCCAAGTTGTTGTGTCTCTGAGGTTTCGTTGCCTTTTGGCTTTACATGTGTGATGGGCTTCACAAAGCTAATTGGGTGCACTCATTTGTTTTGACTGTTACTTTAAAAAGTGTTTTTCCTAAAGGTGTAGACACTTCTGCTTTATGTCAAACTGTAAGATGGAAGCGGAATGTTTGAGGTCCATTCGACGAACTGCTGTACAGGAGGAGTTCTTAAAACCCCTTTTTAGTTCATGACATCAGTGGCAGATGAGGTGATGTGTGGTACGGGACGTGTCCAAACACATCCCGTGGCTCGTGCCCATGGAGGTGTCACCTGTGCTCTCTGAAGATCATCTCAGAGACCCTCTGTGCTCCCTGTGCAAACCAGGTGGTGCTTCACGGCATGGGGCTTCCCCTGACCAAACCAAATCTGACCAAACCAACACTCCAGCTCTTGGTTCCTGTTCTCTGCTTCACTGCCCCTTACCTGTGCCACGCGGGACGTCAGACCAGCAGGCTGGTCCGTGCTTTGCAGTCAAGGGTTGGTCATAGGCCCACATTGGGTCGGAGGTGCAGTTGGAGCTGTGCCGGTGCCTCTGCGGAGCAGTGGAGCGGAGCAGGAATCGGTTTAGCCACATGGCCAAAGCCTGCATCTTGTGGGGCTGTAACTGGAGCCAGGTACCTCAGCCCCAGCACCTCTGGGGTTAGCAAGTACCTGGGGTGTTGGGACTTTGGTTTACACTTTGGTGTAAAACCACTCTGGGGTGATCATGAATGCCAAGACATTACTGCTCAAGTAGGAACCTATTTTCCACTTCAAGAAGTGACCAGACATGAAAATCACTCGTGCATTAGTTGAAGCCTCAGGGTTAATGTCTTGGAAGTAAGGCACTGAGGTGCCAACAATACATTTGGGTGATTCTGTGGATAATAGCAAGCACTGCTCTGGGAGGGCAAGAGAGTCTGTGACCTAGGGATCCCCTCAGAAAAGTCTGATGCTTCCAGAGGTTACTGCCTTTTCCAGCTGCCAGGGGGACAGGGCTGCAAGAGATGGGCTGTTTTAATTTACCCTCATAGGTGGCTTCAGTTACCCTGTCTGCTTCTCATTAAAACTAAAAGCACTCCCATGGCCCCTGCAAGCCCAACAAGGCTCTTGCAGTCATCATCCAACTGAGGTGTACACTGACCTATTCCAAAAGGAATTTAAATGCATGTGGTCAGATTTTGTAAGCACTGGGGCATTGGCCTTGTCTTGTTCATGTGGCAGAAGTTCTGTTTAGGGGCTGTAGTTGAGTATGGGAATGTTTCTGCAGGGTGGAGGAAAAGCTGTTCACACCGTGTGCATTTTCTCAAGGTCATTACTGCTCTTAGGTGAAATACACATTTTTAAGGGACTCATTCGAATGTTGGTGTCTCTCTGAAATTTTTTTGAGGACTAGAAAAGTAGTGACTCAAACTATTTTTTTTTAATGAAGTCAAAAATATGAGCAAAATATTTGTTTTATTATAGACTTAGTTTTTTAAGCTGTTCGAATGAACAATCAGAATTAAACTGTAAAGGAAATACGTTCCATGCCAAAACCTTTTGACAAAGGAGTGGTGTCAGGTTATTTATGAGGAATGAGTTTTCCTGTTTATAATTCTAGGATTTTAAAAAGAAGTTTTTCCAGGGTTATGTGCAATCCATATCTGTCTTCTGGGAGTCAAAAAAATACTGCTTGGCTTCCTTCAATCCCTCGTTCCTTTTTGTGCAGTTCACACACAGAAGGCAATTGGGAGGGTTCCCTGCAAATCACTATCACTGAGCAAGAAGGGATAGTGATGTAAATAATTTCAAGTGACTGCAAAAGATAAGGCAACTTAGCCTCTGGCAGTTGCCAAATTTTGTGGGAGACCAGCGCTGGAAGGCTGAGGGGTCTGGAAAGCTGGATGGGTGGGAGCTGGCCTGCACAGGGGACTTGTACTGCTGCTCTAGGAGCTGCTTCTGTTCTTTTACTTCCCCCCCTTATTTTTGATTGAATATTTATATAATTATTTTGATTGAATATTTATATAATTGTAATTGAGTGTTTGTCTCAGGACCTTCAAAGGACTTAGAGCAACAACTTTAATGTTGATGAATACTTGAAATCTAATTTAAGATGTTTTTTCTCCAGATGGGAGTCTGGCTATAGTAAAGTTTGTAGGTTATGAAAGTAGGTAATTTTAAATATAGATGTTTGAAATATATATATATA